AACTGGACCTGCACGAAGGCGTGGAAGAAGCAGAGGCCTAGTATCATCCGTTTCCAGGCTGGACGTCCCCCAGCAACCGCTCTGACATTTCCTGACACGTCTGTGCATTGGAAAAATTCTTCGTCGCAGATCGGGTGAGATGTAAATGATCGGAGGAGGTTCGCTCTCAGACCCTTTGGGGCCTCTGTCGTCATCTTCACCGCAGACTCAACCAATGTGGAAGGGAATTCTGCGCTCGGATAGCTTGTCAGCCATAGCCGAAAGCTTGGGTGCAGCAGCTGGGGGCTTATTCTCACCCCCCTTTTTCCAGTCTGATTAGGAATAGGACTCCATACCCCTGTTTCCACCGACCCTCCTGCATTTTCCACCCCCATTAATGGACTTGGAGATGGCCCCGTTGCTAAATCAAATGGACTGGTGGAGGCAGCAGATAGCCTTTCTGGCTTGCCAGATTCTACTACTTCTGGACCACCAGATTTCAGCTCCGGAGTTCCATGATTATTGGCTGATTCAATCGAACCACGATGCACCGTGTTGCCTGTGGCATTGTAGCTCTGCTTCCTCTGAAGACGACTGATCTTACCACTCGCTTGTCCTTCTTCTTCTGCTTCGTCTTCATCATCATCACCATCATTATGATCATCATTATCATCATCATCACCTTCTTCTTCTTCTTCGTTGTTGCCGCTGTCGTCTTCTTCTTCTGGATCATCTTCTTCTTTTTCTCCTCCTCCTCCTCCTCTTTCACCCTTGCTGCCACGCACCAAACCATACTGACTAGGACTGTTGACTTCTGTGTTCACCACCTTATTGTTGACTGCCGCGATTGCTGGGTCGCTCGGTGGTTTGCCTTCTGCAGATGAATCCTTTCCAAGGCGATCTGAACTCCACTGTGTGCCCGATGTCGATTGGTGGTGGGTCTGACCAGATGCTGGAACGGTAACGGGTCCCGGGATTGGGGTTAGATCTTTGGATGCGTAATTGCTTTTGAGAGAGTCAAACAGCAGCTCGAGTTTAGGCAGCCAGTTGACCACCAGGTGGCAGTTCTGGAGGAGCACCCAACTACCGGTCTCAGCAGCCTCCAAGATAGCTTTCTCAGCAACTGGACCTTGGCCCTGAAACATCCAGCAGCAGCACGCAACAACCAGTATCAGCAGGCAGGCGCATTTGGCAATGGTTGATTGGTTGGTTGGTTGTGTTGTGTTGTGTTGTGTTGTGTTGTGTTGTGTTGTGTTGTGTTGTGTTGGTTGTTTCGGTTGTGCTGTGTTGTGCTGTGTTGTGCTGTGTTGTGTGGTGTTGGACTGTTAGTTCTGTTGGGGGTAGTTTTGAGGAAGGAGGATGCGGAGCGCACAAGAGATTACATCTCTTCAGTTTGAAATTTTCCATTTGAACGTCGAAGAATGAGCCAAATCCTGAAGGAGGAAGGATCGTGCTGGAGCCTGCAAGGACACGAGAGTGTGTCATGTGCTTCGCAAGGTTACGATGTGTAATGTTGGGCTTCCCGGCGGAGATCTATTTTACAGGCTGCTGCAATTATAGTGCACCCATTGCACCAGGAACCGAACGCTGGATCTGTTTAATAACAGCTATGTGGGTGGGTCATTCAGCCACGTAAAACCGGTACGACGCTGCTGCAAATTCAAGCAAAAATTGGACGAACAGACAATCATGTTGTTGTCAACAGTTGGTGGGTTGGCTCTGCAAAGGAGTGTGAAAGAGTGTGAAAGAGTGTGAAAGAGTGTGAAAGAGTGTGAAAGAGTGTGAATGACTGTCAATGTGAATGAGTGTGAATGATTGGTTTTGTGCAGGGTTGTCGAGCCCCGGCCCCGTGGGCCCGACGGGGGTGCGGGTGTTACATACTTCAATGAGTATGGGCAGAACCAAAGATCAACCAATATAGGATGAGCATTTATGCAGCGGAAGTCTGATAACGAACTGACTCACATAGACTGACTCACAAAGACTGACCTACATGGCATCACTCCACACACATACAATCATGAGATGGTGGGGGTCTGGGTCATGCATAGACGATACCCAGATCCCGTACACACACTCACAGATGAGAGGTGGGAGGAGAGACGAAGGAGGTAGGAGGTAGATCACACCRATAGGTCACAAGATAGAGTCCGGTAGGTCTCCGAAATAGTAGTCCAGAATGTCATATAACAAGATCAAAATGTCGAAGACCCAAGGTCACCAATGTCGGAGATAACCGAGTCCATATGTAACTGGTGTCCAGCTGTGATGCAGCCGAGTATCAACCTCAACAATATCCAAGTCTCCAATCAGGTAAGTACCACAGTCTCGTATCACCGAAATCCAACCCTGATCTCTGTCCAACTGGATAGTCTCCAATCTGAAGAAGAAGAAGAAGAAGAAGAAGAAGAAGAAGAAGAAGAAGAAGAAGAAGAGGAGAGAGAGAGAGGGGACTGGCGAGGGAGAGGAGGAGCTCCTGCTCCAGCCCCTGCGCTAAGTTTAGCGCATCAAAACAGCGCTCTGGCGCTGACCATACCGTACCGGTACAATGCCGGTAGGTCGATGCCTCTATTGAGGCAGGTACCGGTACTTATACCGGTAGGCCATGGTCTGGCCTCAATGCTGCGAGGCCAGGCCAGACCCTGGACCGTCCAGATGGACAGTTCAGCCTCAATCGGCGGGTGGCAGCTTTAAGAGCGCCGCCAGGCCCAAACAAAGTGTCGTTTGGGCCTACCCGCTGGGCTGAGTTCAAAAATCAGGCCTTTAGGCCCTGGTGTGTTCCTCCGGCCCTAAGTCGGGTCCGGTAGGACCCGTGTGAATCGAAGATGTAACAGCGGGGGTCCGGGGGTGGGCACCCCTGACCCCGGCTCCGGACCCCCCCCCCAAGAAAAAAAAAAAAAAAAGATTAAAAAAATAAATAAATAAAAAACTAAAAAAATACAGGGGGGTTGCGCAGCGGCAGCCTGCACCCCCTGGGCCGAATTGCAAAAATGCAGTTCTGGCCCCACCTCGGCCCCCCCCCGTGGTGAGCCCGGGGTGGCCCTGGGCACGGGGCCGGGGGCGGGGCTGAGCAGGGTGCGGGGCC